GTGCCTGAGGCTCCTGCCGCAGCCCCTCCTCGGTTCCGGCAGAAACCGACATCTCACACAGACCCAAAGGCTCTTTTAAGAGCCACCACATGCACAATGAAAAGAGCTGTTGAACTGTTGTGCCTGAGGCTCCTGCCGCAGCCCCTCCTCGGTTCCGGCAGAAACCGACATCTCACACAGACCCAAAGGCTCTTTTAAGAGCCACCACATGCACAATGAAAAGAGCTGTTGAACTGTTTTTAAGCAGTCATACTTTAGAAACAGCAATATTTTTTCCATTCTCTTTTCTATACTGTAACATTTGTTTTTATGATCATGCTTTTTTTTTTTTTCTTACTACATTGCATATAAGGATTTGTCTTCTGTAAACTTCAGAGTTCTAAGTTTTCTGCTCTTCACCTCATAGGGGTGCTGTGCAAATACTTAAGGGTAGTAACAAGCACTTAGTGAAAGTTGGGTGAGAGAGGAGAGGCAAAATTGGAAGTCAGGGGGTTGACACCAATATATGAGGTTAGCAACGGTGAGCAGAGAACATCAGGTAGAAGGGGGGGGATTCACTTTGCTATGACTGCTGGACTCAACAGCTTTGAGGGAAAAGATCGTGGCAGGGTTATGGTTCTGGGATGGGCCTGGGCTCAGGAATGCTGCCTTAACCACTCCTGGCTGGCTGGGTCTTGACAGGAGAAGAAATTTCCTGCAGCTCACTAGAATTGTGTTATTGTTGAACCAGGCTGTGACAATCTTTTTTAAAGGAGGCTGCTGTCTTGCTCCAGCATTTGTTAATGCCAGGGAGCAAGAATCTCTGGTTCAAAACATCAGTTTTGAGGCTGGTCTCAAAATGAAGGATAATCTTGTTGATGAGAGAGGGCACATGAGGTCTTCCAACAGCACAGAAACATAGCTAAGAAGACCAAGAAACTGATTAAGAAGTATTGTATGTAGGAATAACTATCAATTTTTTTTTTCCAAATTTGTTAACATTGATAATACAAAACTACTGAAAAAAGTTTATTTAATTTCTGAGTAGGGGTTTTTTTGTTGTTGTTTGTTTTGTTTTTGTTTTTCTTGGGAGGGGCTGTTTTTGATAAGAGCAATCAACCAAGATTAAGGTTTGTTTAGGGGTTTCTTTCGTCTTTTTTTTCCCCCCCTTTTTTTTTTTTCCTCCCATGTAAAGCCCCCTTGAATGAGTTTGTTGATATTCATGGCCTTATTATGAAGCCAGGCTTCAATGAAAGTATAGAGCTGTAGTGTTAGCAAGTAATGAAGAGAACAGCTGTGCAGTCTGCAGTGAACAGAGGTGCTAGTCTTTTTTTATTATTTTGTGTCTTTCTAACAGAATGTATGTAATTTTTTTAAGATAAATTTAACCTCTATTTGCATGTAAATTAAAACTTTTGTGAATTTATAGTAAATCAGAACAAAAGAATTCTAAGTACTACAGAAAGAATATATTGGTAGGTTTTGAAGTTGGAGTTTTAAACTATGGTATATTAAGATTTCTCCTTGTCTTGTGAGGCAATACGATATAAGAAGAGACTCTTCACTTACAGCCTAGGGAGTGAAATGAATGTTCCATCAGGTTATAAAATTTCTGTGTTCTCTTAAAAGTCAGATGACAAAAGCAGAACATCAGTCCTTCCTTCTACTCTTTCAGTTGTTCTAGAGCTCATTTAATATTAACCTGGGGTGGGGAGGGAGGAGGAAAGGGACTCTATCCTATTTCAAACAAGTGCTGCCTTTTTAACACTCTATGATCCTACCCAGTCATTTTTAGGAATTTTACTGGATAGCACTGGTACGAGACCTGGAAACACAGACAACACATCAACTATTTATCATAATTTCCCCATTCACTTTTGGGGGTGGATTCCACAGTCTGGTATCAGTCAGGGCTCCTTACAGAACCTAAGCACGCACTATAAGCACCAGTGCCGGCTTCAGTAAGGTTGTTTTTATTCACCCCATGACCTCACTTTTTATTAATTTATAATTGTAACAAGTCTGAGGTTTTAGCCATTGTAACCTTTGCTAACCTCCAAGTCATGCCTAGCTACAGACTTAAGTCATTTCAGTGTCTAATACACAGCCACTGTGGAACAATAATTAGAATCAAGATGGAGCCTACTGAGTGTAGCCACACATATAGTTAATTTTAAAATTATAATCATATAATTACTTTTAAATTACACTTATAAGCACAGTCTCTGTGCTTCTCCAGCAGGAGCACTTCCATTTTCAACTTCATAAAATTATCACTTCTTACTCTGCAAGTGTTGATGTACAGAGAATAGAATGGTTCCTTTGGAAGGGACTACAACACTCATGTAGTCCAGCTGTCAAGTAGCTTCTTTCATTTGATCTATCATATAATATTGTTGGAACAGCAAAAAATAAAACCAAATGGATAAAGACAGGTGGTGGTAGAATAGAGGTGACTGGGAAAGACAGAGGTGGATGGATACTGAGAAGAATTAAAATTTGCGAGTGAAGGAAAAGCGTATATATATGTGTGTATATACATACAGAATATGTACATATATCTGTGTGCATATACATTCATACTTACATCATTATGCTATGAATATTACTTGTATCTATCACGTTTTACCTCCTGTGTGGTGTTTCAAAAACTCACCCTATGAAACTTTATGCAGGGTTCCCCAGATGATACCATTCTCAAATACCTGAATTTTCACTTCAGAACAATTTGGCTGGTAACATTTACAGAAGAGTGTTGAACAGACCTGGCTATCAAGGGCAGAGGAAAAGATGTGACAACAAGAAAGCAAAAACATAGGAATGTGAATGTTTGATCTCTGAATGAATAGAAAAGGCAAATTATCTGAAATATTAAAACAGCTGGAGTCCGCAAGATGACACAATCAACCAAGAAATTTAAGTGAACTAAAGGCCAGCTGTAATTTCCTAACTGCAAAATTTTATTGAATCAACTGAATTCTAGTAAATATTGACCATTTGCCAACCCCATATCCATTGCTCTCCTGACTCCACCTTCTTTTTATCACCCAAACTAATACATGTCCTCAATTCTCAAAATCATATAAACGTATTTCCTACAGGTCTCTCATCCATTACAAAGCTGCCAAGGCTTGACAGCTGCTTCCTTTTCCCCAGTTGTTTTGGTCCCAAACAAAAACCACGAATGTTTCCCTTATGCTGGTGCCCTCTATTTATTTGCAAAATGGGAGGGGGAGGCTTCCCAGGAACACCCACCAGATACTCTTTGCTTTTTACAAGCTATCCTTTGTCCTCTACACCAGCCTTTCCTCAACGTCATAAATCAAACAAAGAAAATTGAGAACATAAATTACAATTAGATTAATTTATTGACTTTCCCATTTTGTTTTGCATCAGGCTTATCATCTTAGCACTTTTGTTTTATTAGGGCAATTATTTAATTTTTTAAATTATTTAATAGGGCAAACTATTAAAGAGGTAGGGCTCTCAGATATCTAGTACCGTGTTTCCATTTTTAGAGTACCTCATAGCAAAAGCAATGATAGAGTACACTTCAAGTTTTTTAAATAAAAAGCTGATTGAAGGTTATCTTCCAATAATAACTCAGGTTATGTTTTCAATATTACTTAAAAGTAAAAATTCACACTGCTCCATAAAAACTATTGCAAATGAAGTATTTTACAGGAAGCATCAAGTCTGGGGAGGGGCACAAGGAAGAATTCTTGTAGGCTGTCTGACTCTACTTTTTAATTTCATAGCTCTTGCCATGCTTATTAAATTCTTTAATTTACCCTATCGGAACATTCATTTTTATGACTTGTGCAGTTACTTATTCTGTATAGTTGAATAGGTATTTCCAAGCCCCTCACTAAAAACAGCACCAAACACTTTTTGCTCAAAAAACCCAAGCAGTCTAAAAACACTACTTAGGAAGGTTTACTAACATTTTCACTGGAATTGCTGTATCTTATCGTAAAGTTCACTTGACAAGTGCTTAAGAGAAATCAACTGAGCACAAAGTAGGAGGGAAAACAAAGTAAATCACAGGAATACCAGAACTGAGAAAAACTTAATAATACCTTAATAGTATTATACTAAAGTACTTAATAGTACCTTAATAGTAAAGTACTTAATAGTATCTTAATAATATAAGTTTGATTTTGCATACAAGTATCAAGAAAGACTGTGTCACAACTCTTTTGTGCAATGTGGTGGCTCTTAAAAGAGCCTTTAGGGTGCAAAGATGGAGCTCAGGGATCAGACACCTGCGGTAGGAGCCTCAGGCACGCTCACCGCGGATGCGGCGGGCCAGCTGGATGTCCTTGGGCATGATGGTGACACGCTTGGCATGGATGGCGCACAGGTTGGTGTCCTCGAAGAGCCCCACCAGGTAGGCCTCGCTCGCCTCCTGCAGCGCCATCACGGCCGAGCTCTGGAAGCGCAGGTCGGTCTTGAAGTCCTGCGCGATCTCGCGCACCAGCCGCTGGAAGGGCAGCTTGCGGATCAGCAGCTCCGTCGACTTCTGGTAGCGCCGGATCTCGCGCAGCGCCACCGTGCCGGGCCGGTAGCGGTGCGGCTTCTTCACGCCGCCCGTGGCCGGCGCGCTCTTGCGGGCCGCCTTGGTGGCCAGCTGCTTGCGGGGCGCCTTCCCGCCCGTCGACTTCCGCGCCGTCTGCTTCGTTTTTTTTCAGAAGTGACCCAAAGCCGGCTCTGAGTACCCTGTAATGATGCCGTGCAGCTGCCGCGCCGGCTTTTATAGCCTGCTCCCCTCTCTGATTGGCTGGCAGCAACGCGCCGTTATTATTGGCCACTTTCAAATCCGAAAAGCCCAACCCC